AGCCGTTGTTTCCCGCATTTGAACGTCAAGACCGTTATGCAAAGACAGATTAAGAGATATGCATGAAAGGTTGCCGTCATATCCCCTCGATCTAAAGATTCCGTGAGATATTTGAGTTGACGGATGTTCAGACGCAACAATCCTTATTTGTAAAAGATAAAATAATTGATTTAAACTAAAAATTAAAAATGCTAAAAACATTGGCAACTCAGGCATTGAAAGGAATTACTTATGAGTTAAAGCAGGGTTTCCCAAACTGGGGTTGCGGGGGGCCGTGATGACTGCACAGGGGTCAGTAAAAATATGAAAAAAAAGTCTGATCAATATTTAATAATTGATTTCAATCAAAAAAAATCCGTTGCATATTTTTGGTTGAACGTTGCGGACAAATATCCATTGCTGTCAGAAAAGGCAATTAAAATTATATTGCCTTTTGCAACGACCTACATGCGTGAGGCAGTATTTTCACCTCTTATCAATATGATGACAAAATACAGGTCGAGACTTGCAGTAGAGTCCGATCTATGAGTTTGCTTGTCACAAATTGCTCCTAGAATTGATAAATTGTGCAGGGAAAAGCAACCTCATCCATCCCATTAATGTCGTTTGTGTTGTAAATGAAACACAACCTTTACTCGTTGGCTAGGCACAGAAATTGATACGACATAGGATGGGAGTCCGTCAAAACTAAGACTCACAACAGGGGTCCGCGACCCAAAAAGTTCGCAAAACTCTCAGTTAAAAAACCTCATTCTACCTGATAATACAATTTGTTTAATTTCTATGATAATGAACTCAAAGCGGGACCACGCGCACTCGTTCAAGGAAAAAGGAGACTCATCTGAGCAAAGTTACAAGTAACCAATGAAATAGTATGAACTACTGAAACAATATTAAATTATTGGGTACTCCAGAAGTATGTGAAACAAAATGGCGGACATTGGAACGTAGTATGTGTACCAGGTTAGGGTTAGGCCCTAATTTCAGGTACAAATACTACGGGAGTCACTTGGCTAGTCCCCTAACTCGTAATAGTACGGAAATAAGAAAAATTAGAATAAAATTATGTCCTAACCCTAACCTGGTACACATACTACCGGTGTCCGCCATCTTGGTTCATATACTATACTTCGGGAGTACCAAACTGCTACATTGAAATACAGAGTGTCCATAAATTCTTGAATTTTTTTAAAAATTACAGAGGGAATTCATCGATACCATATATTGTTTTGGTCCTCACAGATGTATTAAATGAAGTAAAAATACAATTACTGAATAAAACCAGGTTGAGATATACTAACCCTGTATAAGAGAAATAAAATTGATAACTGATGGAAAACATTCCACACAAGGCATTTGTTTTCAACAATACTTCTTATATAATAACAATAAAATAATTAATTGTTCAATAATTATAATTGTTACTTTACTTTAACGTCACAGTTATAATGACGTCACAAACAAGGATTCTACTGTTATTGTTGGTAATATATACATGGAGTGCATCGGCGAACATTGCAAATCCCGTCGGAAATAAGAAAGCATTTTTGCGGGAAATTATACCAAAAAATTAGGCGGAAATTCGTTTTCACGTCGGCACAAGATTCAATCAAAGAAAACGTAGATCGACGACTCTTCAGAGAGGTAAATATTTTATTGTTTCACTTTTATGTATTAGATTTTGTAAATGATGAATATCAAATGATAAAACGTCACGATTTCCACGGTTATATGTTAGACAGGAGGGTCCAAGGTTGTTGGCTCCGCGGGCCACAAAATTATTTCTGCATTATTCGCGGGCCACAATAGTGCCAGGAATAGGTAAACAGTGTAATACAAAACAAACGCTTTCATTGTACAAACGCATAGTTATCAGACATAGCCATTCCAGGCTAATAGAATCCGCATTCGATTTTTAGTTATCTATGATGCCTATATTGTTAGCATATATTCCCGACCAAAAAGATAGAAAGCCAGATAATATTTTAGACTTCCAAGCACATCCTTCAACATCGCTATATGCCTCAGCTAGCCACAACATTAGTAAATTCAGTGATATTAGTGATGCAGCAATATGCCAAAAGATTTTTCTGATTAATTGGATTACGAAACAACACGAAATGCGATTTTTTGATTACTCTCCAAATGTGACGCGGGCCACAGATAATGAAGCGGCGGGCCGCATGTGACCCGCGGGCCTGGGTTTGGGCCACCCTGTGGGAGTATATAGTGTGGGTAGGAGGTATTCCTTCACGTTAAAGAATTTGTATCGTTTTTTAGCGGAAATATTATTTGCATGTGATCTAGTTCTTGCAATTATTGTTTAGTATTTGTATTATTGTAGTACATATTTAGGTACTCCTGAAGTATGTGATCCAAGATGGTGGACACCGGAACGGAGTATGTGTACCAGGTTAGGGATAGGCCATAATTTCCGCTAAAAATACTACGGGAGTCTCTTGGCTAGTCCCCGAACTCGTTATGTGCTAGAATAAGGAAAATTAGAATAAAATTATGTCCCAACCCTAACCTGGTGCACATACTACGTTCCGGTGTCCGCCATCTTGGTTCACATACTTCGGGAGCACCCGGAATTTTTCCAGCACTAAAGTCCATGCATCTGAAACTAATAACTGGTTAACTAATCTCGTACCCAACATGGACTTGTGACCGGGAGATTCTATGATTTCGTTTGCTGTATAATTTAGCCACGCTGTCGGCTTTCTCCCGCTTCCCGTATTAATGCAAATCCTGTCCTTCCTCATTTTATACCTAAATACTTTTACTTCCAGGCCAACGGCTCAACCCGAATCCATTTTTCGAGACAATAACTGACGACAGAACAGCCACATTTGACATCACGTTTACGAATGATGACAACATAGACGTGTTCCGCATGTATCCACCAGCAGCGAATGCAAGAAAGTTACACTGGAGTGAGAAAATAGCACATGATGCGGATGAATACGATCTGTATTTTTAAATCTGTTTATCCTAGCCAACTAACCAAGTTAGATTATTGCAGCACCTTATTAGTTATTATCCAAACCTAACCAAAGTCCAGAAAAGCTGGGGTAATAGGATAGCACAAAGTCACGTGGTTTATACCTACCTCATTCTGAAGAATATTTGTGTATATGCCCCCCCAAATGACCCCCCCCCCCCCCCATTTGAAATGTAATAAAAATCATTAAACTAACAGTACTACCGACGTAAACGTGATTGAAAATCAACGCAACTTTATTGGAAATCTCTCAAATCAAGAAACCCTTCTACGTGATACCTACAAATTCCCACGTTGAAAGCCAGATGTCTCTCTCTTTTTGCCTCCACAAAAAGGTCGCGATTTTCGGCAAATATAGTGAAAAAATAATTGTTTTTCCAAAATATTGGTTGGATAATACGATCAGTATAATTTGATTCAATTATTTCTAACCGTAAATGTATTATCATGCTTAAAAAATGTACTTTTGACGGAAATTCGACTCCAAATCTTCTTTATATATTGCATGAACGACATCTCATATTATTGCGTAACAAAGATCATAATGACGAAATAAACGATGATTTTAATCTCTCGTTTTCTCTCTCTCTCTCTCGGGCATACGTTTATTGGCAGTTGAGCGGTGGGAAAATGTTTATGACCGTGTTGCAATCGGCAAATACGCCAGGTTGCGCACGTCAGTCTAGTTTTACTACGCAAATAAGAGCGTGGGGATTTGACGTATTTGGATAAGTTGAAAACCCATAATGGCCAACTTTGGGAAATAGTGACGAACACATGCATGAAACGTAAGGCGCCTTTCAAATTTATTGCTGTTTAATCAGAAGCCCAGTACACGTCATCTTCAACCAAGACGGGTGTTTGGTACTTACCGTTTCGGAAAACTCTGCAGTCTACTAGAAATATTGTACATGCCTTCAACATACATTTGGTGGAATATAGTATAAACATTCCCCTATCATGTACTGGCCATTAGGAACAACGAAAATTACTGAGTAAGAAAAGCACGCATTTATAAAGAATATACGCAATGCTAGGTCACTCAGAATATTCATTTCTAGGAAAAGTTATACGCACTCACTTAGAAGTAAAGGAGACATTTTCGAAAAGATAAAAAATATTTTGCATATTATGAAGAAAAAGGAAATATTTTAAGCATACCCAATACAAATAAACTCACCCTGTATTCTGCGCTCTTTTCCGTTGTTTTCAACTCGCTTCATTGTACCCATCTCCCAACCTTTGCCGTTCCAAAATCCTTTACACTCAAACCAAACAACCCCACATGGCACATACAATCATAATCAATTCATCCGAACGTTACCAACAAACAAACACGCATCCCCACAATTGGGAAATACAGAACGAAGTGTAGCAAGGACAAGAGAGCAATGCTCAAATATGTAAGCGCTACATCATTACATTTGTTGTGGAGAAAAACGCTGTAGCTACAGAGTAAAATGCCACAGAGCAAGTTGTAAAACTTGACAACATGGAAGGTTACACAAAACTACTAGAAATTACAAGGGGAAAACCTGGGGAACATACCGTGTAATTGTGTTTTCACTTATATTTTATGATACGAAATGAGAACGTCCATGTAGAACTTCTTTGTCTCGTTATTTGAACGTCATATATGGTTCTGGCAACTTTCTATAATTTCCGTCCCGCGCGTTCGTAATTGTGCTTTTGGTACTCCCGTAGTATGTGAACCAAAATAGCGGACACCGGAACGTAGTATGAGTACCAGTAGGCAGGGTTAGGTCAATAATTTCAGGTACAAATACTACTGACTCACTTGACTAAGCCCCGAACTCGTAATAGAACCAAAATAAGGAAAATTGGAATAAAATTATGACTTTACCCTAACCTGGTACACATACTACGTTCCGGTGTCCGCCGTCTTGGTTCACATACTACGGAAGTACCGTGATTTTTACCATGGTGAAGTCACCATTTTATCTTATCATTTGTACCAGTTTATCTAATCTAATACCTGGATAGTCTCTGTTGTATTCAGTCCACACTGGTCCTTTATGATAATAGTAACATTCTTGGTCTTGGCTGAGGATTCAAGAGGCACCGTCCATTCAAGTAGTCCATTCACTGACACGTACATGTCCGTCGTTTTTGATTTGTCGATGTCGAAGTATATGAACGGGTCTGAAGTTGAAACAATTTAATGTAAAGTGTTTTTAAGTGTTGTAAAGTGTTGTTAATTTAATGAAACTGCACATGTTACAGCTATTTAGTATGCAGTAGTTGTGATTGTAAACATTTAGGATAATATTTCCCTATATATATATATATCGAGGTGAAGCAGGGCCAATAATCGAGCATATGACGAACCACGGCATTTTAGCATTTAACAAATATATGGGGTCGTGTATGGAGTTGTCCAGTTAATTTCTCCACATGCAAGGTCTTTGGTGCTGGAGGAAGCCATAACTGGCCGGCGGTTACGTGAAATATTCTCCAACAGCAAATAGCTCGGCTGCCCTCTCGCCCATAATTCAAATACCATCAAAAACTTCATATTAAGTAAATTTGTAATGACTCATGTCCAGAGATGTGCAACATTTTTTTAATCGGTGGGCCATAAAACAAACCTCAAACAGACATCTAGTCGGGCTACAAACACCGAATTTCAACACCGCTTTTCAATACGGAAGTAGAGAATGTGGCTATTGCTTCTCCTTGAAGTAATAAAGGCATCGGGCAAAACGGTGAGAGATTTAATGCAGCTACAAGAGGAGAAAACATTATGTATTTTTTACCAACGTGAGCGACTTAATAAACATAAACTGTCGAATTCGGATTGATTGCTTGATGGGGAAAAACGGAGTGTTGACAAGGTCACACGCTGTATGTCTTGACAGGCCGGAGTTGTGACCCGCGGGCCTGATCTAGCCCATACTAACCTCCTGGATCAGTTGCATTCAATTGATAGATGAATATTTCTCCTTCGAATGCCTTGAGTTTATCTTTTTCTTCGTTCAAAACTGGTGGCCGGTTTTCTGTCAATAAATTGAATAATATATATTAAAAATACTTCTGAGAAAACTGTAAAATTTAAATGCTTTTTATTATTACATAAACATTATAACGGAAGAAATAGGTGTTAACATAATATTTGAACCCGGATATAGTTGGTACTATTCTGTCATCGACCGAATATAATTTCCGGATTTTTATAGGCTAGGTTAGGATAACTTAATTTAGTTAAGTTCTTCCTCTACCTAACTTAATTAAGATAATCAGATACAAAGAAAATAAGTCAGAAAATTAGTGGAACAATAGTTCTCTGGGATCTTCCGTGCAAAGCCCCCGCAGATGGCGTTGAAAACTCAAACCATTCCTGACCCTACCCGAACCCCAGCTGGATAATTACTAATTTGTTATTTTAAAACATACCAGGGGCGTTTTTCTCAAATCTCACATTTTTACATTAATGGCGAGGCTTTGTACAAATGATTTTCTGATTTCTGATTTCTTATATTAACTAGACTAAAAACTGTTACACAAAAACGTACGACAGTGAATTTAAACGATTTATCCTAAGAAAACCTCATTCAGCGAAAAACGGCTATAAGTAATCAGATTTCACAACCATAGTAAAACTGGACCGTGCATAGAAGTAAACAGACATCATAATTCACTGAACTGGAACAGTCGTTGAATAATGGGTACTCCCGTGGTGTGTTTACTAGGTTAGGGGTAGGCCATAGTTTTATTCAGTTTTTCCTTATTTTTTTTAGTGAGGCTCCCGAAGTATGCGAACCAAGATGGCGGACATCGGAATGTAATATGTGTACTAGGTTAGGGTTAGACCATAATTTTAGGTATAAATACTACGGGAGGCTCTTGGCTAGTCTTCGAACTGATAATAGGGCTAAAATAACAAAAATTGGAAAAAAAATATCGCCTAACCCTAACCTTGTTACCCATGTTACGTTCCGATGTCCGCCATCTTGGTTCGCATACTTCGGGAGCCCCTTTTTAGTTCTATTACGAGTTGGGGGACTTTCTGTGTTAGACAAGTGATTATACCCCCTGTCCATAGGCTTCAATCCCTTTACACAACATGATGTAAAGTAGGCGAACAAAATTAGTTACTTCCATATTGGTACACAGTACACACTTCTGGAGCACCGATGATTAGTAAACAATTTGGGGTACACAGCTATTTTTGGGACTGGTTATCGCGTCGCCAGCTGAATATTTTAGTTTAAACTTTGTGTCGAGGCATTACGAGATCCTAATTGGTGAAGAACAAAACCAAGGTATTATTTATATCCCGCTTTTCTTACTACTGGACTAATTGCTTTAACATATTCAGATTGTATTTTTCACTGGTAGGATATTTTTTTAATTTATTCCAAAACTTTCTGTGGGTTCTGTGTGATTCGTATTTCACTTCGAATTTTTTTGTGATGACCTCTTCAACATTAATAAAAATTATTTGTAGCAATTCTTCCTATCCTAATAATCATACACCCACCCATATTCTGAACTATAACAATATTAAAATTCGTTGCATAGGACAAAGTTATTACGACTAGACTAGCCATTCTTCACGTCAACGGGTAACGACCTGAACGATACCAACTTGAAAAATGAGGTCATTAAAGAAATTTATGATGTATAAGCACACGTATGGTACTTCTATTGTACAAAATTGGTGAGAGAAAAAGCGGGCTCGTCCGGGATTTGAACCCGGGACCTCTCGCACCCAAAGCGAGAATCATACCCCTAGACCAACGAGCCAGTCGACACTCGGAAGCGCGAATACATACTATATTCGAGGACTCTCGAATTGAACGGTCGATGTCTGCGGGAAAGGCCTGAGGCGTTACGCACATAGCTAAAGCAAACAAAATAACAAAGGCGTCACAAAAAAGTCGTGGTGCGTGTCTTTGTGTGCGTAGTTTGGAAATTATAGTTTGCATATAAGTCCCCAAAGGGCCCGTGGCTCGTTGGTCTAGGGGTATGATTCTCGCTTAGGGTGCGAGAGGTCCCGGGTTCAAATCCCGGACGAGCCCTGTTTTCGTTTATATTATCATTTAATTTGCCCGAATATCGTGTAATAAACGGCTAAAATAGCCACCGCAATGTCAGCAAAATCTAGAAAAAGATAGTTCGCGAAATATCATATGAAAGTGTCTTCGTGAATTGTCTGTCCTACGTCTAATAGAATAGATCACCATTCGTTCGAGTTGCATCTCAGATTTTTGACAAGTGTTTTGATTTCACAAACGAGCCGACGACACCGCCAGAATGGAGTGGAAGTGGTGACTCGTCTACGGCCCATGGGCCGGGGCCACGACCCATCAGGCTATGGGTCGCGGCCCAACAAGTTGTGCAAAGGGACAATTCACTTGGCTAACGCAGACAGTCCCCAAACTCATATTAGAACTATAATGTGAAAAATCTGAACAAAATTTTGTCCTAACCCTAACCTGGTACACATACTACAGGAGTATCCTTTTCTGTAGCTTGGTATTTTTTTTATTTTATATAAATGCTTATCGTAAAAAAAATGGTGGCATACGGCGATTTTTTTTTATTCGAATATTGACAATTTTGTAAAAATTGAAAATTTTGATAAGATAATTGTATTTTTCCTGATGGGACCGCGGCCCATAGCTTGATGGGGCATGGTCCATGTGGCCCAATCAGATGGGCCGTGGCTCTGGCTCATGGGTCGTAGAGGAGTCACCACCCCTGAAGCCAGAATGAGCGACTTATATTAAAAAATCTGTCATTGTATGAATTTTAATACATTTGACAACTTTGCTTGGGCGATTCGGCATTTCACTCCAACTATAAGCAGCTTGGCAATATCGTTTTCAATTAATATTTTATCTCTGGTTCACTCATTTTTACAAAATCTCAATTGGCGATTGTTGTATAAATTAATTATTATTATGGACTGGCAAACAAATTTTCCCTACTTTTTCAACTTTTTGTATTTATTTTGTTTATTGACTTACTATGTTATTTATCTCACATTTCTCGCGTTTTTCTTACTCACTCATATATCTGTTGTTGTGTGAGTGTGAATTAATTTAATACTTTTTAGGTGAGTGAACACGTACCACTTCTTCTGGCAAAACCTTCCGAGTTAAATTCTTCACGCTATAAACCTCAATTAAGATTTTGTTTGCTCTCGTGATTCTGTTATTAGTTTTTTATCTATTTATTCTTATCAACTAGTTTATTGTCTGTTATTCTGATTATGGAGTCGAATTAAACTTATACTTTCCGTCGAACATTCCCTTTCGTGCCTTCATTGTTATTGATTTGCGCACAAGTGGAAAGTATGATCGAATGAGTTCATTACATTAATTATCTAAAGGTATAATTACAAATGAATATAATGAGTGTTCGTCCGGCTCGTTGGTCTAGGGGTATGATTCTCGCTTTGGGTGCGAGAGGTCCCGGGTTCAAATCCCGGACGAGCCCATATTTTGCCGGGATGTAATTGAGAAATAAGAAGGATGCTGCCAAAAGTAGCCAATGTAAGGTGGGAGTAAATTTTGGCCCTCGGAGCCTACTCTGACTATTTATCTAAAGTTTTATATCACCCAGACCAAGACATACAACCAAACCCAATTTTTATATTTTAGCAGTATTTCATTTAGTTTCTGCGAAACTAACTACTTATCCTTCTTCTATTCTTTGCGTCAGTGGATCCGTATGTATATAATGCAATGATGCTGTAAGCATAGGCGAATTTAACTATCCTAAGTGATTCAAGGGCCTTGCTGCATACAACACAAATGTATTTATTCAACGTTCCGGCTGTTCAAAGTCAGACTTTCAGCAGAAATACATTTGTGTGCAGCAAGACTCTTGAATCACTTAAATAGCAGTATTTTACACGCGACATTGGCGCAGAAAATTTTCGCACAAAAGCATTGCCATCAGACCCAGCCCAATCAGTCGCCAACTAGAACGAGCTTGTGCTAACCCGCGGGTGTAATTGTATTGCAACTGGAACTGATAAACATAATCATAATCGCACTAATTAACAGGACGGTGATTAGTACTTGAAAGCATTAGATTCGGGATATTTGGAGCAACTTGGCGCGGCTCGTTGGTCTAGGGGTATGATTCTCGCTTCGGGTGCGAGAGGTCCCGGGTTCAACTCCCGGACGAGCCCTATTTTAATGATACACGCGACTTTGGTTTCTCTTTTGAAGGTTACTACAATGCAATAATACAACAGCTAGCCTGCTACTATAAGTAAATACATTATAAATTTCGTTATGATTTCAATAGTTATATCACATACTTGTCTTTTTGTATTTTTGAAAATGTTTTCATGGACCATATACGTTATGGTCATTTCGCTATAGTTGTTAGTAATAAAAATAGGTATATATGGCTCCAATTGTTATTTGAATGGCATAATCCGCAGAGGGCTATTGGGTTGCTAGAGATGGCCCCAATCGACATTTAAATGGCCCTCTTTATAGGGTGCTGTTGGGCTGCCACTAGACAGCAGGGTTGGATATATGGTCCGAGCACGGATATTGAAATGGCCTCCGTTGGGGAGGGTTCATTGTGCTGCCACAATAATTAGGTTACGTTTAGGGATATATCGTTCCAATCATCATTTGAGTATCATTTTCCATTAAGAGGGCTGCCATGCATCAGGTTATAAATCAGGCTGTAATATAGATAGTGGAACCTGAACATAGTATGCGTACCAGGTTAAGGTTGTGCGCCATCTTGGTGCACATACTTCGGGAGCGCCGATTCTTTTTGGTAGCTACATCTGATGTGCACTACCAATCAAGCGTAATGCTTATCACATTTACTTGAAGATAACCTAACCACTCACGTGCGCACGGATTCAATGATCCATATCCGAGATGTATTGTGACGTCAACTTCATTTGATTCCCTGGTGCCATCGGTGACCTAAGACAAGAAGAATTATTAGGCTTCGATATTGCATCAGAGGTAGAGCTAAGATCTCAAGCCCGAGACCGACCCAAAATTCGGGCCTGAAATGTCAATCATTACGTTCGGGTCGGGTCGGGCTTCTCTATCGCTGACTTTTTTTAAAAATAAATGGTGCTCCCGAAGTATGCGAACCAAGATGGCGGACATCGGAACGTAACATGGGTAACAGGTTAGGGTTAGGCGATAATTTTTTTCCAATTTTCCTTATTTTAGTCCTATTATCAGTTCGAAGACTAGCCAAGAGCCTCCCGTAGTATTTATACCTAAAATTATGGCCTAACCCTATCCTAGTCTGCCATCTTGGTTCGCATACTTCGGGAGCCCCAAATAAACATATGTTTATTAAAAATATATACTAAAACTATGTGTGGAATTCAAAGAACTCCTGAATAAAATATGAAATTTCAGGTTTGCTTCGGGCTCGAGCCTGCAAATCCAATTAATCAGTCGGTCTCGGGTCGGATTTAATACCCGCGGGCCCGGGTCGGGCCGGGCTGGAATATTTGGGCCCAATCTTGCATCTACGGGAGTCATAAGCGAAAATAATCACACTTTAAAAATGAAAAAAAATTTGCCCCAGAGTAAATTCACGGAGATGAATATATTTAAAACGATTATGGTCTCACTCACCTTAATTTTGTAATTAACTTGCGGTTGTGACGTCACAAGAAGTGTTTGGATCTCTGGAAGAGGACAGAACATATGATTCTCTTCTTCGGGATTAAAAATGGCGGGAAACGAAACGGCGTTAGGAAACGGACCCTGCAACGATTTGTTAGTTCATTAGAAACAACTGACTGACACAGTTTGTACAAAGTTGCTAAAAGTGCAGTGCTGATAGAATTTGGCAAGTGGCGAAATTTGTACCGCAGCTGCAAGTCGCTGGAATATTCGGCACTCCCGGAGTATGTGCACCAAGATGGTGCACAACCTGAAACCTAACCTGGTACACATACTATGTTCAGGTTGTGCGCCATCTTGGTGCACATATTTCTGGAGCTCCGAATATTTTAAGAAATATATATTTTTATGAGTGCTATGAGGGCGAATATTTTGCAATATCTCATGCGCTCGGCTATACACGACTGAAGTCCTGTCACGCCGGCACGGAAGCGCGATATTGAGCATTGCTCTTTTTGTTTGTACAGATTCATTTATGTGAAAGAGCCAGTAGATATCGGGCATTTTAACATAGACGTTGATGAATCGATTCTTTAAATCATGGGTGTGTAACCTTTGATACGGGAGGGCCACAAATAACTGGAAGAAACCGCGGGCTATACCTTTTTTAACATAGGCTCCGAAGTAGTCGCAGGCACAAAAATTTTAGTCATTGATCTTTTGAGTTTTGACATGCGTTGTTTGCTTCGCACAAGCTAGCTGTCAGGGCATTACAAGGTATTGGGGTTACTTGCACGCGCCAGATTGAACTAAATTAAAGACTTCAAATTGCCACGTCACCGCAGGCCCCATAATTTTCCCTTGTGGGCCGCATTTGACCCGCGGACAGCAGGTTGCACACCCCTTGTTTAAATGACTTGGTCGCGTAAAAGGTATTATAACAAGAAAATGTAATAGTGTTTGAGTTCAGATCATAATAAACCTTCTTAGAAGACGCTTTTTAACCGGCCTAATATCCTAATACGGGGATGTATAAGCAGTCACTGTTATGTCAGAAAGTTCTTAACAAACAACTGCAAAAAAATTGAAACTTACATCTTGTTTTGTAACAATGCAGTTTAGAGAAGATTGTTCGGCAACGGAGTCACTTGACATGTGATTACTCGAAACGAAGCCGTTTCCAAATATCTCTATTCGATCACAATCGCCTATCATTGCATGGCATTCTCCGCTATTTGCTACTCCAGTTAACACAAGAGAGGGAATTTCTATCGTTGTTGTCGTCTGAGTTGTGGAAGGAGGTTGCCTATTTACACGAATATATTTGGTATTTCCCGCCAAATGTACTGGTCCACTGATTCCTGACTGTGACGTCATATTATGATCAATATTAGTTCTTGTTGGAATTGGAATTTTATTATTAGACGAAATATGGGGGGATGTTTCTTCGATTATATTCGAAGTTGGTGACGTCATCGGAGTTGTGACGTCATCTACAGTAGGTTTTGAAGTTGATGAGGTTGTAGTAAAACGGTGTGTGGATGTTGTAATTGGTGTTGATGTAGTTGTTGGAGGTATTGGGGTTGTTGTTGAAGTAGATGATCTTGTTGTTGAAGATGACGTCACGGGTTCAAAGATTATGCTTGTTGTTGAAGTCATTGTAAATGATTTGGATATCGGTGATGAGTCATCTTCTGCTGTAGAAATAAACAAACAGATATAATGTTAGGGTTATCGCCACCGATATGGATACAAAAAGATGTATTTTTCAATTTTTCAATTAATTACTGCCAGTAATCTGCGCCGATTTTAGAGTCGTCTATTCCAAATATTGCGGAATTACTGCGGATTAAGATAAAATGCTTTTTGACAAGCTCTAACAAAGGGTGTCCATAAAGTCCCTTTGCAGTTTTAATTTTGTTAGGAAATTAGTTCTCAATATTATATATTTTAACCAGGTTTGTTGTTATTTAATCAGTAATTATTTAAGTATTTTACCTCATTTAATACATCTGTGACGGCCAAAACAATGTATGGTATCGATAAATTTTCAAAAATATTTTAAGACACCTATATATTCAGAAAAAAATCTATTTCGTGCACATTTATAGTATTTGTTGGGGGGTAATGAGAAATTTTCGATGAACGCCAGATGCCGACATTCTCTTTAGCTCGTCCTGCAAAGATATTTATTGGCATTTGAATGGTCCACTTAGCATAGCATATATCTATTAAACCGGTTCAGATAGATAGATTTTAGTTCTATTCATTTGCAAAAATAAAAAGATAGACAGAAAATAGAAATATGCAAGTGACTGTTGCATATATATCTACTATATAGTGTGTCCATAAATCTCAAATTTTTTTAGAATTGCAAAGAGTATTTATCGATACCATATATTGTTTTGGCCCTCACAGATGTATGAAATAAAGTAAAAATGCTTGAACAATTACTGATTAAAAAACAGCCAACCTGTATAAGATATATTGAGAACTGACTTCATACAAAATTGAAATTGTAAAGGGACTTTATATGGACACCCTGTATATATAAATACTCATAGAAACTTGAGCAATCAATGCCCTTTTTCGCAGTTCCTGTCCGATTATCGACCCAAACCCTCTTTATACTGGGGCGGCAAAGAAATTACACTACCTTTAAAAAAGCTGAAAACATTGATTTATTGCCAGCTCACCTCGTGAATGCATGTCCCCACAATCCACTCCGAAATAACCTTCATGACAGACGCATCCATGAGAAGAGCATTCTCCATGATTGTTGCAATTACGCGGGCATCTTAGAGACGATAACACCAAGTCTGGTGGAGATAGACTTCCGTCCCTGCGAGGAAAAAGTGTTTGATTAAGTTGAGAAATATTTGAAATTGGGCGCTCCAGAAGTATGTGTACCAACATGGAGGTAACTAAATTTGTTCGCCTACTTTACATCAAGTTGTGTAAAGGGACTGAAACCTATGGGCAGGGGGTATATTCACTTGGATAACACAGACAGTCCCCGAACTCGTAATAGAACTAAAATGAAGAAAATCGGGAAAAAGTTATGGCCTAACCCTAACCTGGTACATATACTACGGGAGTGCCGAAAATGGTGCCACAATGACAATTCAAAGCGATGGAAAAAGTTATTGGACACGAAGTTGATAGATTTTAGTTCTAGGTGGAAGATCAAAGCTTTTGTATAAAGGCCACTCCATTAGTGCAAAAATATGAGATTTGAAAAAACAACTCCGTCACGTTTTCAAATAAAAAAATTAGTAAATATTCAGTTTCGACTAGGAATGATGTAAAAATATGAATTTCCAGCTAACTGAATAAATACTAATCGGGGGTGTTTTTTGGGCGGGGCTTTCTACAAAAGATCTGGAAAATATTAACTAAAACCCTTTTACAACTAGAATTCAGACATCGCAAACTACGGCCGGTTTAGTGATTTAATCTGGCCCGCCTGATGCCGCCACAACCAAACTAAAACCAAATTTTGATAATTTAGCTAACAAAAAATAGTTCAATTTGTTGAGATTGCGATTAAATTTAGTTTTGGCACGAGGCTTATTCTTTACCGCTTTTGCAACACTGTAAATATTGTTCATAAAATGTAACTTTTTACGTCACACTTACATGGCCCGCCAGGCTAGGTTTTGACCCCCGGTCCAAAAACCTTGCCCCCCCCCCCCCCCCTGCGCTTGATAGAACCGAAATGGAAATCCCTAATTTATCCACACGGCAGTAGAATTATAACGCGACGCAAAATAACATCGCTTGAGGAAATGAGAGAAAAGCGGTTTTATCATTCGAGAGAACTTTGCGCGGCGCAATATTTCGTCTCTCTTTTATATTCTCAATCTTTCTCTCACTTTTTGTGCGTTGAGCAACGAGTGAGACAACAACATAAAGAAAAAAGCAAACGCGAGACGGGCTTCAATTGTTTTATTATTATCTATTTCTACCACATGCGTTAGGTTATTGAAATCACTCATGGCATTTTGTTAAACGCCTCTCGTCAATACTCTGGTTTCTCTTCATTACACGCATAAATCTTTCGCCTTTTACTAAAGATTTCCGTGGAGAGGAGCATTCAATGAGTCTTCAACAATTTTTCTTGCCTGGGTATTCCCGGGTCCCCAACATGAATAAGAAAAACTAAGCGAGATAGTCCGAGTGGTTCCATTACATTTGAACCCACGTACATTTGAACCCATGACAATTGCACCTGTATGCTATTGCACCTATGGAATTTTTTTTGTTTCACGGATAGTTAAACCCATACTAACCCTAACCCATGGGTTTTAGCACCCGCATATAGATTGAACCCGTGGATATACGCATGGGTTCAAATGTACGGTCACCAGTCCGAGTATCCTATATCACTACCGCGCTTGCAATTTCTACCACTCGCGCAAAATAGATCGGCGATGTTGTGACGATAATATAAACGCACAGTATCAGTAACTATAAGTTAGGCAAACTTGGATATTGTGTATTGAACTGCAGGTCCTTTCTCTTTGATTACTTTCTACTTACGGAAAGTAAGTATAAGTTAGGCCTTGGTTTACGCGAAACTGACCGCCCTTCCTTGCGCTTTTTCTTCATGCCGAGGCAGTGATTCCCAACCTTTCAAGCGACCCTAATTTCCAAAATAACAAAATTGGTAAAATCTCGCGGACCTTAAAAAATGCTCAAAAACAGCATGGTATGTAGAGATTTATGGCCGCAAAATGACTAATATAACAATCATCAATTCGGGAAAACATCCATTAGCACAGCTGTGGTATTCCTGTATTTGGCGAGCGATATAATTATACGAAGCTGCAAGTCGAGAACTCATTGCGGCGAATACGCAAACGGCCTCGCGTGAAAAAAAGAAAAAAGCAAACGAGAGAAGAATTTTAGAAGTTTTTTTATAATCTCTTTTAACCACAAACGTTAGGTTATTTGAATCGTATGAGGTTTTATTTTTAGGACCGGGAAGTCAACACTCTGGTTTTTCTTCATTACACGCATAAATCTTTCGCCTTTTACTAAAGATTTCCGTGGAGAGGAGCATTCAATGAGTCTTCAAAAATTTTTCTCGCCTGGGTAATCCCAGGTTCCAAAATTAAATGTTTAAAATATAGTTGCCCGAACTAGCCCGTCGTTCTTAAAGAGAAATTTTGCTCCGTCCGGGCATCCCGGGTTTTTAACTGTTTCGAAGCTATTTTACTTACTCACTTTTTATTTTCAAATAAATTATTTTTTAAAATTGAGTATCACTATTATCTCGGGTGTAATAAAGTGGGTAGACAATGCAGAACCGGATAGTAGCATTTTACCTAGCAGCAAACGCTTGTGCAGAGCCTGGTTCGGAGCGAAAGGTTGGGGTCGACCTCCTGGTTTTGGGGGTCGACCCCCCCCCCTTCGAAATGTTTCTGGTTGCGCCCCTGAGTACAAGACAGGGGTGTAGCCTGCGGGTGATGGGGTGATCTGAGGATCGTAACTACCCCTTTTTGATTGAAAAATATCATTTTTTGTATATTACATAGCAATTTTCGTAGCTTGTAACGCTTTTAAAGACAGAACTCATAAAAATTCCTAATTACTTTAATGTAAACGAAAAAAAATAAAATTTTTTTTCCGTTTCTGTATAATTGTACCCAAAAATTCAAAATCTAGGACGCTTCGCACAAAAGTTATGAGCTTTCTAGAAGAGGTTCCAACTAACCCGAGTTTTGTCACCTTTATAAATAAACGAATTTTATGAAATTTTCACCTTTCTTTTCTCCATACGTTTGTATTCTTTATTAGTCTTCCCTCACACATATTTTCAATCATGGAGTACGATCTCTCAGCCCAAATCCAGTCGCCTTTATTGTGGACATCTCGGACGCATATATCGATGGCTATCTGTAAAATAAGTTTATGAACGGTAATAACCTATTGTAACACAACTAAATGTTAGAATAGCACATTAGTTCTTAAACTGTCATACGTCATGTTTCCTTTTCAAAGACTACTCGCGGTCTCTTCTTTTCAATAAAATAAAACGAGCTTTGTTTTCAGGGGTTTATTCAGCTATTTAAACGCCGCGTTTAATTATAATAATAAAACAAACGAAAGTAATTTATTTAAATACATTTCATTCAAAGAATTAAATCTGTAATTCTGGAAGCCTTCGACGGTGCCACTCTGGGGGCCACCGGGCTGAAGGTACATTTTAAAAAATCGGGGCTAAGATAAGTAAATTTATGTTAGACTATTGTCCCGTCGTTCCCTCTGTCTTAGCAGATTATTGTTGGTAGTCAAACAGACAAAGGCTTGAAACGAGAAAATCGGTAGGAGACCGATTCCTTATCGACCGACTGCAAAAAAAAACTAATTAATTTATTAATAACTCGCTAATTATATAAAAAAAAAAACGGGCAAAAAAAATTATTATTTAATAACTCGCTAATTATACGGCATAATCATCCAAATCAATATGCTTCTGGTCCGAGATATGATGAATTCACATGCAAAATTTGGAGCAGCTTTCGTGAGATATCGCGTAACATACGAAAGTGTTTAACAGACAAACAGACAGACAAATACCTATCAACATACTTATAATCAACATAGTTATAATCAAATCAAGTTATATTAACCTTCCTGAGATAAATAGAATCAAACAATTCGGTTCAAAAATTAGTGTGTCGGCAGCGGACGCATAATGTCAAGCCTATCACAATAGCAATTTTCGCAGTAGTACTTTTATGGGGGCTCCCGAAGTATGCGAACCAAGATGGCGGACATCGGAATGTAATATGTGTACTAGGTTAGGGTTAGGCTATAATTTTAGGTATAAATACTACGGGAGGCTCTTGGCTAGTCTTCGAACTGATAATAGGACTAAAATAAGGAAACTTGGAAAAAAATTATCGCCTAACCCTAACCTGTTACCCATGTTACGTTCCGATGTCCGCCATCTTGGTTCGCATACTTCGGGAGCACCCTTTTATGTATAGTGTTTGAACAACCACATTTCTAGTTTTAACATCTTCCCTAAATTTCCGCCCCGTCTATTTGTTTTACTTATGTGTCATAATTATAATAACAGTGTCTTGCCAAAAGATGTGGCATGTGTTCAGTCACCTAAAAGTATTAAATTAATACACACACAGACGCACATACATAAACAACCACAGAGATATACAGAAAAAAACGTGAGTAATTTGAGATAAATTACTTAGTGAACAAAAGAAAACCAAAAAAATATACATAAAAAGGATTATCTGCCACACCGTGTTGTTAACTTCGAGACAGTTACAATAGCTGGTATATTATATTTCAATGCTAAAGCCGCGAGGAAGGAGTAAGTCGTGTTTGATCAACGCTTGGTAAGGAATGCGTATGACCAATTCGCGAGTCAATTCGAGAGAACGTCTTTATATATGAACGCCGACACGAATACGCGACGTAGCCTCTATAGCTCAGTGGTTAGAGCACTGGTCTCGTAAACCAGGGGTCGTGAGTTCGAATCTCACTAGGGGCTTTTTGTTTGTGGCACAAATTATGATACATTACGGTGAAATTATAATCCAAATAGAAATAATCATATTCAGACAGTTTTAAGTGATATATCTATATAGGTTGCCACTAACAGGTAAGTCCTATTATATATATATATATATATATATTCCTTCAGCGCTAATGAATTCACTTTGTTTTATATTAACTCTTTATTCTTATGGAAATAAACCAGGAAATCTATGCTCGGCGAAACATCCATGAAGCCATGTTTTTGAATTAATTCAAACGTGTATAAAATTTCCCACATGCCTTGCCCTAAGCTTTGTTCAAAGAGACGCTAGAAGAATTAAGTGTAACATTTCTTTTTAAATTACTTTGGACTTTTGTAATAAATTTGGAGCGGATACAAAAAGTCATAATGTATTTTTGCGCTACGTTTGGTACGTTTTTGAGTTGAATAAACAATCAGATATCTCACTTTCTCTCACTCCATTTCTCGCATTTGGAAGGTATAATATGACCAAATATACGTACCTGGATGGCATCTTCACCTAAGATCGTCCCACAAGCTGTAACGATGCTCAGTTTCCTAGAAAAATAAATTAAAATAGAATTTGCGGTGATTTGATGACACGATGGCAAATCGACCGCACAATTTGGGACTTAATACTTGTGGGCGTGGAATATGCCGGCACTCTCAGCAGTCTTTGCATCTTCGCCATTTCTGGATCTTCACAAAGTACTATTGGACTAGTACCTGTTTCGCAAAGTACTATCGGGCTAACATATAGACGTCAGCTTAGAATTGGGATCGATATATGTCCTCAATCACTATTATAATAGCACCCTCCTATTGGGTGCCTCAAAGAATGCAGTTTAGGAATAGGTAGGGTTACCATATTTTTGTGACTTCAAATCGGGACGCCTCAAATGACAGCGACCCCTTAGCTGTGATTTTGTATCTTCACATTTTCCGATTTTACTACATAGGCCTTCATTAAGATGCTGTCCCGGCTGTCTTTATTGACCATATTGTTATCGAAATTCCATGCGCATATTCTCTGTCCAAATATCGGTTTCAGTTCGAAAAGAATTTACGTTAACGATACAGGTACAAATAATTCGAATTTAGACTAATTAGTATTGGGTTTACATGCGATACGTCTGCCATCAACGGAAATCAGCGGGAAACTAACGCATTCACCTTCAGTAAGTAGGCTAGCGCTGCTATACAGAAACAGCAGTAACGAGAACATGTTCGTGTGTTATGCTCTATGGCTGAACGCAAAAGCGGGACTTTTGGCTGACATGTCGGGACTGCGAGAAAAAAAGCTGAAAAGCGGGACTGTCCCGCCTAAAGCTGGACGTATGGTAAGCCTAGAAATAGGGACAGTTTTAGGGCCGTAATCGACATTTGAATGGCCTTCATTGAGCTTGATATACACAACAGAGCGGGAATTAGGAATAAGGACAAATACATGATATATAGAGTTATTTCACGGACCTATTTGACATAGAGTTATTGTCATTGCTAATACGATAATAGTACTATCATTTTACACCTACCGTATGATTGAGCCACATTTTGCAATCACATAATTTTTCGACCATCCTTTGCTATTTGGCCATCTCATGTCTGTTTTGAGGCTAGTTTTCGGAAAACGATCGTCCAAGAAAACGTAGGTCGCCCGATTTCTGTATTTCGTGCCCTTAAAATGTTAGACATGAGGCATAAATCACTAGAGGAATGCAAATGTACGGAGAAGTCAGGAAGGTAGCAAGGGGGTGGTTTTGGGAGTCGAAACCCCCCCTTTTGAAATGTAAATAAATAAAATCATCTTTCTGTATCATAGATAGTATTTTTCCGTAGCTTGAAATGTCTGTTAGACCCCCATGACTCATGAAAACACACGTTATCCGGCGTTTGGCCTGATCCGCTAGCTGTTTCGATCAAACTTGGCAAATACAAATTTCTGAACCACCCTCTTTGAAAATTTGTGGCTACGCCCTTGGGAGAAGTTCCATATTTTCGAAAATCGGTTTCAGTACTGGTTCAATCTTTAGATAACGTACCTCGTTCCTGCCCTGGTCTGGCGTCTGGTCTCCATATATTGAAATCATATCTGGGGTTTGTGGTTGCAAAATCTGATGCGATGGAGGAACTTCACCGACAGAAATACGAGCCCCGAACTGACGACGACCTGAAAAAGATCGATTTGAATGGCTGTACTAGACCAACGGTTCTCAACCGGTGGCCGGTGGCACTAAGGGGTCTACAGTTAGATAGAGCCAGAGAGGAGAGGACCAAAACGCTGGGTGCGAAACTGATTTTACTTTTTCCTTTACAAGAAAACTTGCTTGATAATTTTATTTCACAAGGTGTTTTCACTTTGGATACCGACAATTGTTGCGTCATTATCACAGTTAACGCACGTGTATATTCAATTCAGTTCGGTATCTTAATTATACCGGCTGGTTTCGCCCCCTTGCGGGTGTACCCATCTCCTGGCCCGCGTATATTCTCCCGCTTTTAATTTTGGCCCCCGTTCCATCAAATTTAGCAACCACTAACCTAAACTCTTAAAAAAGCGGGAAGGAGACTTGCGCATAACATTAGCTAACGATCCATTGAAGATTAAATAAATAAAGAGTACTCCCGAGTCTCGAAGTATGTGAACAAAGATGGCGGACACCGGAACGTATTCTATCCGCCATTCTAATTCCAATACTTCGGGAGTACAAACGATTTTGGATTTATTCTTAAGAAACATATCGATGCGGAGAGATACAGGCTTCTAACTTCGAATGGTCGGAAAAACGCGACGATTCTGGATACCGTAGGACAAAGTCGTCGTAAATTTCTCAAAAAATGGTTTGACGATGACAGATTTTGCAGTTGGTTAGTTTGCACCCAACTCTCTGATGGAGGTGGATTTTATATTCACAAAAAAACAGCTGAGTTGTTGAATCAGTTTGCTTATTGATAAACTGTTGTTGTTTCGCGCTTGAAGAAGGGGTGTCTAAACCCAATATAATTTCTAAAATTTTCAAATTTGGCCCCCCCAAAATTTTGGGCTGGCTACGCCACTGTTTACTTTGCCGACGTTTCGAATTTCTATTCAGAAAAACTTCGTCAGGGCATGATATGGAAAGCACACTACCGTAAATATATAGAGAAAAAAGAAAAAGTTATCACGGCATGAAATCTACGGTACTCCTGAAGTATGCACACCAAGATGTCGCACAACCTGAACCCTGACCTGGTACACAACCTGAGTTCAGGTTGTGCGCCATCTTGGTGCGCATACTTCAGAAGGTCCAAATCTACTCCATGCGCTATTTATACGGAAACAAAGCTGGGAACCACTGACATACCTGTTCCAGTTTCCACAGTACGCGGACCGGTACTTGCAGCAGTATCGACACCCCTTCGTTTATGTTTTGAAATCTTCCGCGACGATATACCAGAAATATAATCGCTTCTTGTAACCGGAGTTTGCGATCGCCGAATTTCTTCGGATCCATATCCGGCACTACCAGAATCGGCTTGTGGAACTCCGACTCCATATCCGGCACCACCAGCTTGCGATGATTGGTAGTTTGAATATTGAGAATTATAACCAGCCCCGAAGTTGCCATGAAAACTATTTGTTGCGCCGGGGATATTATACCGGGAGTCCCCAACTCCGGGTTTTGCTCCAAATCCGGGGATAGTATCCGGAGCATTTTGTGTACTCATACTTTGCGAATTACCAACATGGCCGCTGCGAAAATTGTTGCCGGCGCCAGGGATATTATACTGGGAGTCCCCAGCTCCGGATTCTGTCCCATATCCGGGGATCGAATCCGGAGCATGTCGTGGATTACCAGAATGGGTGTTTTGATATGGGTTATATTCTGGGACATACCCATAGCTTGCATGGTTGGGGACCCCTTGACCCATATTGCCAAACTGGGCCCCAAATCTAGGTTGCTGAATAAAATTTCTCTGTTGTGAATAATAATCCGGATAGTATCCGAAGTTGGATCCGGTAGTATCCGAATAGGCAGATCTTGACTCCGGACTCTGCTCTGGTTTTTGATTCTGTTGTGTATTTCCGTAATCCCCTACCGGTTTTGGGACATATCCGTAACTAGAGTATGTATTTCCCGTTACCGGATTACCCGAATTTCCGGATATTGACTCCGTATTTGGAAGCTGTTGACCTTTAACATTCTGATCGGTTGCATATTCAGTTTGTGCACTATCAGACTGAACGTCGGATCCGACGTTTGAATGATATCCGGATTGGTGCACCGGATTTACATATCCGGTACCAGGAACTTTTTGTTGGGAGCTATAATCCGGTACATATCCATAACTAGGGTTTGTAAACTGTGGATTCTGGAAGCCATTTCCCGACACTTGTGACTGAAAATAGTTATTTGGATTGTACTGGTATTGACCATAATTCTCATATGGATTGTAATAATTGTTCGACCCCCCGATCAGGACATTTTGTCCTGAATCTCGATAATTGGGGTTTTGTCCAGAATATGCTCCTAGATGTGACCCGCTCGGATTATATGCATTTTGAGTTTGCTGGTTGGAATAGGCACCTCTTTGCCAATTTTCTTGTTCGTTGGCGGGAATGTTTCCAACGCCACCTTGTGACCGTTGATTTCCGTACATGGTATTCCCTTCCTGATAACTTCCGCCATAAGTTCGAGGGTCATCATGCATGGTTTGATAGCCGTGATATGACCCAACTCCTTGGTGATATCCATAGTCATTTTGGCCTGGGATTTCAGCCACAGATTGTCGTTTGTTTCGCCTCCCGCGTTTTCTATGAGATCTCCTTTCTTGTACCGATCGCTTCTGCTTTCCACCATTCTGTGAATCTAAAATATGTGCAAATTTTAGAGGCGAAATAAGTTTGGGTTCATCGTGCAGAATAATAATATGGTATTTTGCAAATTTTGAGTTCCGTCCCGCATAAAATGCTCTCAAGGTGCCCACAAGGTGGCTAAAAGACGCTCCAGAGGTAACTAATTTTGTTCACCTACTTTACAAGTTGTGTGAAAGGACTGTAACCTATGAGCAGGGGGTATATTCACTTGGCTATCACAGACAGTCCCCGAACTTATAATAGAACTAAAATAAGGAAAATCGGAATAAAATCATGGTCTAACCCTAACCTGGTACACACACTACCGGAGTACCGCTTAGGTCTCGAGGTTCCTCACAACTCGCAATTACATTTTTTGTACTTGCGAATAAATGATTTCCTGATTTCTAGCAAAATTAAAAAAAAAAATGTAGCGTCGTACCTTTCTTTATAGATCTCTTGCTTCTACTACGATACCTCCCAGACGAGGGTTGCCAGATTGAATAGTCTTGTCCTCTCATCTCTTGATGAGAAGAAGACGCATCCCAAACTCGAGGGAATATTTTATTCGGCTGCAAGGAATGTTGCAAAGAAATAAAAATCATAGATTTATTGGTGATCGTACATTTGAACCCACGTACATTTGAACCCATGTGTATATCCGTGGGTTCAATCTATATGCGGGTGCTAAAACCCATGGGTTAGGGTTAGTAGGGGTTCAAATATTGGCAGAACAAAAAAATTCCATAGGTGTAATAGTATGCAGGTGCAATTGTCGTGGGTTTCAAATGTACGGGAACCAGATTTATTAAATCATATGTTTAATAACAAAAAAAATTATTATCAACTTGCTAGGTTTATTTTAGCTACAGGGGTTCGCAACTTTTTTCAAGCAACTAAATTTTCTAAAAAATAAATTTCCTAAAATCGGGCGACCCAAGGATATACCAGGCGGTATGTAATGATGCTTTTTATATGGTCACAAAATCAACTGAACAATATGAAACAACCATTTATACATTCAATTTTTTTTCCCCAAAATTAATTAGAATTCGGAAATGTAATGTGTTTATAGCTAAATCGTAAAATTACTGTAATGTTGCGATGTCAATTGAAGTAATTAGATTAGCAGACATGTCTGTAACGCTAACGATGAGCGACTTTCATTTTCATATTTTTGAGGATTGAGGATAATTGTGATAAATAAACTACAATTTAATACGAACCTGGCGTTGGATCATCTTAGACTCTGCAAGTGCGACATATTTCTCAGTGATGTCATTCCCCTCAAATAGATTTGGTCGATGTATCGGGTTTTGGTATTGACATTTCTCGCCGTACTTGCCACATAAACAGTAGTTTGGGGAAACTGTGGAGTTTGACTTTTTGACAGGAACTCGTTCAAACAAGCTGAAACCGGCTGGGAGTCTGAAATGGGATTTTTATATAATTTAGCACAGGAATGGGCAATTACTTCCCTGAGTCAGTTACGGAGAATAGACTCCGGGGCTCAAACTCCATATGAATAATAAAAATTTATCGCCTAACCCTAACCTGTTACCCATGTTACGTTCCGATGTCCGCCATCTTGGTTCGCATACTTCGAACGGGTGAAATTTAAAATACCTCTAGAAATGGGGGCTCCCGAGGTATGCGAACCAAGAAGGCGGACATCGGAATGTAATATGTGTACTAGGTTAGGGTTAGGCCATAATTTTAGGTATAAATACTACGGGAGGCTCTTGGCTAGTCTTCGAACTGATAATAGGACTAAAATAAGGAAAATTGGAAAAAAATTTTCGCCTAACCCTAACCTGTTACCCATGTTACGTTCCGATGTCCGCCATCTTGGTTCGCATACTTCGGGAGCACCAAAAAAAGTTTACTTACAAATAACTTACGTAACAACTGATGTACAACAAATAGCCAGTGTATCAAGTGGACAATGATTAATGGGACTGAAGTACCCAACGATTCAGTATTTTCATCGATATTTTCAACGGAAATTTATACCCATAAAAACTAAAGTCGTTATTCCAGCAAACATAAATGGAGCGGATCAAACAATTCGATGGGCCCCTGATTCAGCAGAAATGTTGTCTTACAGCTACATCCTGAGTTAACTTTACTGTTTTTATCTGTTAGTGATTTCAATACTTTGTTTTTCATATGGACCTAAATGCCTGGAATAATAAATGAATTGAAAAATCAAGATTCCGAGGCCTAACAAAATGTAGAGAAGTGATAGAAAAAGAGTTGCAAACGACACTTAACACGTTTGAGATTTATACGGGTTGGGCTAAAAGTGGATTCACAACTTTATGATAATTCAATTGAATTTATTAATAGCATAATAACTATTCTATATAGCTGCAGAGCCGGCCTTAGGCCATTGCAATCTTTACAACCACCGTGGTACTTGCACTAGTGAGAGTCATTGAAATTAAGTATTTGATTTTATATAAATTATACGAAATATATAATGTAATGACGATTTTCTTTTCCATACATTTATCATTCTCATCTCCAGCCAGAATGGGCCCCACACAATCTATTTATCACAGCAGTTTAAGTCGACCTAGCATGTGTATACCATGTGTCCAAAAAGTAATAAAACAATTCAAATCGCAAAGATGATTTATCGATAAAACTGCATTATGGACGCCCCAATCGGAAACTAGTCATCTTTCATACAAGCCTTTTTCCAACTATGGCAAGAAAAGCGATAGCATGTGCGTAAATAATGGTTATCATTCGTTGAATTTGCTTCCTATAAAAGTTACAATACAAAAGCTAACGAAAAATGTCGTCCACAGAGAAATCAACTCCTCGCGTACCTAAAATTTTCAATGTTTTGTCTCCTTGCATCGTTGATAGAATTTCCATCAAAATGTCCACATAGCCCCTTAGTCTTCCCATGATCAACAAAGGGTGCCTGCACTGTTATTCCGAGACCCCATGGTTCCACGTCAACTCGAACAAATGCCCCAGACGGGAAGAAGATCTGACGAAAAAATAGATTTTTATGAGGGTTTACTGACTTTGGCTATGAATCAGGCTCTAAATCAGCGGCTCCGGCCCTCGGCCCCTCAAGAGAGTCGCAGAGCAGTTGGAGGGGGCCACAATGCTAGTCGAAAAACTGATTCCACTTTTCACTTTACAAGAAAACTCCCCGTTTTCCCGCAGTGTATTTTTGACAAAGTTTAAATGAAAAATTTATATCAGAGATTCTCGTTAGTATCCCGAGACACCATAGTTCGCTTCCGAAGGGAAGAGTATCTTGTATAAGAGAATAAAATGTTATGAATAGCGAGACTTCATGACAGATTGCAAACCCGCGTGAATATAAGAAATATAAGAAAGAAAAAAAGTCTAGTCTTTAGACGTACCGTTATTTTCTCCCCTTCTCTCGATGTTAATATGCGAGTAGCTGGGTCCATTGGTAACTCACTGACGATTTCAATTAGAGGTTCAGTGACGTCATTTGATGACGTCACATCTTGCCCACATCCGTCGATAACGATGACGTCACCTCCTTGACTAGCTGCTACTCCGCAGTGACACCAAGAATTGTGAGATGACGTAGTCCTGTTAGTGATGTCACACTTGTCCCAGACCCTAGAGTGCACCTGCAGTGAAAAGTAAGAGTGTTGAATTATACAAGGAAATGACGGCGCTTCAGAAGTATGTGTACCAATATGGAGGTAACTAATTTTATTGGACACGTTAGTGGACATAACGATCGTTTTGCATTATTTTTAAACACCTAGTGGATAACTTGAAAAGTCGCTTTTCTTTTTGATTACTGGACCAATTTCTTCAAAATTATTGACTCCATTGATGTTATATGAATAAACTTGCTTTTTATGTTTTATGTAAATTCTAACGTAAATCGTGGCTGATGGTTAAGTTTCTCAAAAACGTTTGCGGCCCGCAGTGAATTTATGGCTCGTTGCGGACTCATTCAAACGCTCCGCGGACTCATTTAAGACGCGGACTCGGGTTGGGAAACACTGCGTTAGTGGACATAACGATCGTTCTGCATTATTTTTGCGATAAACTTAAAAAGTCGCTTTTCTCTTTGATTACTGGTCCAATTTCTTCAGAATTTTGAGTAGTAAAAGATGGAATTTTTTTCTAGAAGGCTATCATTTTTATTTATTTCAAATATTTCTGTTGGCTTTGTGAGATTCGTTTTTTGTTTGCTATGAGGTCACCGAACGTTCTGCGGACGCACATCAGCTGATTCCGTGCTCGGCGTTTGCCGATGGATCTAGTGCTTAGCGAAAGTGGGAAGTTTTTATGCCGAACACTGGACTGTTGTATGATTTTCGGTAATTGGCGAAATTTCCTACGTGTCCATATATTTGAGCATAGCTCTCATGTTTCAGTTCTATTACGAGTTCGGGGACTATTTGTGTTAGCCAAGTGTAAATATCCCCTGCCCATAGGCTTCCGTTCCTTTACAGAACTTGATGTAAAGTAGACGAACAAAAGTAGTTACCTCCATATTGGTAAACACACTTCTGAGCGCCGAAATGGCATTTAATGTCGCACAACATGAATGTCAAACTGAAAGACGCAGTTTTGAGTAAACGCATAGCGATATCATAAAGCTTATTTTAATATTCTTAAAAGTGAAAAAATATTTCTGTTCTATTACGAGTTCGGAGACTAGCCAAGTGACTCCCATAGTATTTATACCTGAAATTATGGCCTAACCCTAACCTGGTACACATACTACGTTCCGATGTCTGCCAATAATACTAAATAAATAAAATATTAATAGTAATACTACATGGAAACAAAAAGCAAAAATCTCCCCCAAAAACAATAAAATCTCTTTTCAGAGAGATATTTGTAATCACCTTAAAGTCTCGTTCCGTTGACTCATACATCACAAACGTTCCTGTCGTGTGTAAGTCGTATAGTGCTCCATCTAGTGTCACAATATGCGGGTCAGTATATGAATAACATTGTGACGTATCTACATCCGTGATTGTGACCTAAATTAAACAAAACGAATAGAATAGATAAAGATTGCTTTATGTTCATTATCGACATTTCGTGGCAACTGCAAAATTATTGGTGCTCATTTTGGAACTTCAATTATAAAAAAGTCAATAAACAGAAGCAAAGAAATAAATGCGTTAGAGCAGCGGTTCCCAAACTATGGGTCGCGACCCACTGGTGGGTCGCAAAAGGAATCTCAGTGGGTCGTGAAAAGATGTAGAAAGCTTTGATTGATTATACTGGTTATTAGGATCGGTGGGGCCTCGAATACGTAAATCTTCAAAAAAAACGAAATAAATTAAATTGAATTTAAATTCTAATCTATAAAAGTTTCCTTTTTACGATCTTCTCAAAGGAACAAAAATTTGCTACACAAAGAATGACTATGTGGCTTTTTTACGCATGGCAGTTTTGTACACTGTACAGCACTTCTTACAGTGTTTCCCCGTAATTTAGACAGGATTTAGATTTAATTTCTTTCGAAGAATAACACTATGGTTTATTTCTGAAGAGGTCTTTTAAGTTCATTTATCAAAACTAAAATTACATTGTAAAAAATCACGAGATGAGTCGACATAAGCTGTGGTAATAAATAGTGGGTCCCAACTCTGAAAAGTTTGGGAACCACTGCATCAGAGCAGGGGTGTGCAACAGGCTGCCCGCGGGTCACAACCCGACCCGTCAATCTATTCAATGTGACCTTTTGTCAACACTCAGATTTTTCCCTAAAAAATCATAATCCGACAGTTTATGTGCAAAAAAGCGTTCACATAGATAAAAATAAATAATGTTATTACTTATCGATTTTAATCGGTAAGTATGTTGATAGGTATTTGTCTGTCTGTATGTCTGTCTGTCTGTTAGATGCACGCGATATCTCACGAAAGCGAGATGAATCTGCTGCAGATTTTGCATGTGCATTTATCATATCTCGGACCAGAAGCCTATTGATTTTGGATGAATTATGTCGTATAATTAGCAAGTTATTAATTGATTAGTGATGGGACATAAGGTGTTACTATGGAGTAAGAGCGCTGTTTTGGGATCCCCTAACTTTCGATCGATAAGTCTTCGGTCTCTGACCGATATTCTCGTTTTGCTATTGTCGCTGCGTTAATTATTCGACTTTTTTCCTTATAGTATGATTTAATGTTAGACTCCCTTATAGGTTATTTGCTCGATAATAATCGGTGAAATGCAGTTTTTGTTTTGTTTTCTTTCTAAATTAAGTTCGTACAATGTGTACTTTCGACATGCAAAAAATAAACTACTGACTGACGGATTACAGTTTGTTAAGTTGTTGACGAGATAATAGTGTTCAGTGGCGTAGCCAAAATTTTCGACTCGCGAAGCCATCGACCTGGCTACGCCACTGATAGTGTTCATAGGCTTGATAGACCTAGAATCAGTACCCTGGTATCCTTTTCAACAGTGTTTTCCAACCTATGGGTCGCGAGTCGCGACACAAAATTGGGTCGTCTGACAATTTTATTGGGTCGCTCGTTTTGTAGACAAAAACCTCAAAATGACTGCATTTCTAATATTTTTTGGTATTATTAATTTTATTGTTCATATTTGTATAAAAGTGAGGAAGTATCACAGCCCAAAAACTTGGCCCCTACCGGTATTGGTCGCTCTGTTAATTTTGTGACCATTGAAGGCATAAGCATTGCATATCGCCTAGTATTCGAACATATTGTTGGGTTGCGAGATTTTACAAAATTTGTTTTTTAAGAAATTTGGATCGCTTGAAAAAAAAGTTCGGAACCACTGCTTCCCAACACTTCTATTTAATGAAGATCTTCAGAACATACCTCGACGTCTGGGGCATCATAGCCAGCCCAAGCAGCATCGTGGGCCAGTATCGGGATAGTTTCAACCAGAGTTTTTCGTGTCCCGTCATTTGCAAAGTCCTGGACTCCGGAAATCTGTATGGAAAACAAGATATATATATTAAAATGTTGGATACAGAATGAGTAACCGCAAATCTTTTAATGATATGATTAAGATTAAAATAATATTTAATTTATTAAAAACTTTTTTTTTTTTGGGGGGGGGGGTGAGGAGTGTTGCAATGCCTGAGAAGTTAGAATGTCGGAAACAGCTATGCTGGCGTGGTCTAGAGCAGGGGTGCAACTCAAATGAGGACTTGTGCAAAATTTTTCTAAATAATCTTGTTGCGTGCCACACTAATCGTTGGTATTGTAAATTAACCCCCGTAAAACACACATCAGACAAATTTTAATATTAATATCGAATATCTATTGATTGGAACAGTTTAATGTCCTGAAAAACTGCTGATTTTGATATAAACGTGATATTTTAATGTATATCATGAATACAATTTTTTTTTTACAAAACCGTTCGCGTGCCACGTTTGAGCATATGACGTGCCAAATTTGGCACGCGTGCCCCGTGTTGTGCTCCCCTGGTCTAGAGCTCTCTTACTTATATCAACGTACTTCTCATGTTTATTTGAAACTTAAAACATACGGATGGATTTTAGGGGTTTATGGGATCTTCAAGCTAAAAATTAAAGAGAAAGATGAGTCTGTGGCCATCCGTGACAGCTTAACAGAAGATCTTAATCACATAATCAAAAGATTTGTTTTTGAAGGAATTGTTCTAGTCGTTTAGAAATCAAAGAGACTTTTGACAAAGTTTTTGTTTGTACCACTTATACATAATTGAAATATTGAACAATATTGAAATTATTGTTCACAACATCACAGCAAACCATCAGAATGGTCCGTGGCCCCAATTAAATTAGCAGCCACTGTTTTTTTACATTGACAGTAATGGATCCGTATCCTCTCACCTCAAATTTCCCTTTTCCACAAACTCCTTCCTGACAGCTTATCCGCGAGATGGCAACAGAGCATCCACTAATCATTACATTTGGAGGTAGATTGTCCTTAGAATCTGAAAGGGGTGAGATGAAAAGCTTCAGTTAGGTTCGATTTTGTGCTTAGTTGTTGGAACATTAGACTTAACTATGTTAGAATCTCAGATTACAATCTTGGCTTCAAATTCCATGCCCTCACATCAAATAAGGGTATAACTAGATAGCAATCAGAGATCACCGACTTATCCATCGTTCGTAGCGGCGAAAGATAAGGGATCCCCTAAAACAGAAACTGCGTTTCGATTCCTTCGGTCCGGCTCAATAGCGACACCGTGTCCCAACACTAATTAATTAATAACTCGCTAGTTGTACGACATAATTTATCCAAAATCGGGCTTGGCCCGAGATAGGATAAATAAAATTTGGAGCAGACTCAACCTCGCTTTCGTGAGATATCGCGTCAGATACGAAAGTGTCTAACAGACAAACAAAAATACAGACAAATACCTATCAACATACTTATCGAGATCGATAAGTAACAAACAGGCAAATACCTATCAACAACATACTTACCATTCAAGATCGATAAGTAATGAAATGGATAGGCAATGTCTAATCAGAAATATTAAAAGAATATAGAAATAGTTCAACGGTTGAAGCAATATAGTCAGGAACATGTTTTTTTGCATTTTCATCATGGCGACACAGACCCGAGAAATTCGATTTGCGGACTTGCAGAATCCTATGAATACTTCATAATTAAGGTATAATCCGACGCATTTTCTTACCTAAGTTTCTCGCAGCCAAGAAAACCCTCATAACACAGTTGCCTCGATCATCCAGTTGGCATGGAAACGGTACTGAGGATGTCACCGTCACAGTTTGTGTTTCACCTTCTCGTATACTTATGACCTGTGGTTGCATCTGAAAAATGAAATAAGAAAATGGCTGGAAGTTAATTATTACTTATCGATCTTAAGTATGTTGGTGAGGTATTTGTGGTTGATAGGTATTTGTGGGTCTGTCTGTATGTCTGTTAGATGAACGCGATATCTCACGAAAGCATAGTTGAATCGGCTCCCAATTTTTGCATATGCATTCATCATATCTCGGACCAGAAGCCTATTGATTTTGGATGTATTATGTCATACAATTAACGAGTTATTAATTAATTAGTGATGGGACACGTGGTGTCGCTATAGAGTCATGAATCAAAACCGCAGTTTCGATCGATAAGTCTTCGGTCTTCGACCGATATTCTCGTTTTCTTTCTTATTCAAATTTTCCCCGTCTGTAGGACTCTACAATTTATTCAAAATTTTGCAATATTATTCTGAATAAATAGAAACATTTTTTTCAATCTGTCGCGCTTAACCGCCTCCGCCAAACTTGCCCGCCTTGTCAGCAAGCAAACTCGGCTTTCCGAGACCATATCGTTACCGATATGCGATCTTCGTGCTCAACCTCCGCTCCACTCTTCTATCTGACAGGCCATTTATTCATCTATAATTCCAACCCGCGGGGGATAAGTACCTTGAACGGGATGGGAATTAAGTAGCGATTATGACAATTTATTTATCTTTATTCCTAATTCACCCTACCTTTAATCCAATATAGTATCCGGGGCTTCCTTCCACGCCTTGCAGCTCAGACGTTGGGGTTCTCCTGTCGACAATTCTCACTGAACACGTGACCGTGACGTCAATTCTGACGACAGTTGCTTCAGAAAAAGTCTCAGTCGTTTCGTCAGTGTGGAATAATTCCTATAAATAAAATATAAGGGAAATAAAGTTTTATCGTTTATCCTTGGAAAGTCGATAAGACGGCTTGATTACGTGACGAACCGCGACCTAACGCCGGGTTGCTTGTTCACATAGACCGGTGTTTTGCCGTTTCGATAAATTCCTCTAGTTGTCTGTTTTGGATCTCCGCCCTTACAGATGCATGAAACTGTGTTTCAGTTATTTGTTCAATCTTCAAGAGATCTCTCAACTAACGCAAGTCGCGCAAGTTACTTTTTCGCAGTTTGAATAGTTCAATAATATTGCGAGTATAAATATGTTTTACAATAATACAAATCGAGATTAGTAAAACTACACCATATAAATAGTATTATTCCGTACAAGCCTCCCTGGTGGCAAATCCTCCATAGGTTGTGATAAGCTGAGACCATAGTCGGCCAGGGTAGCCCTTGCAAACGCCCCAAATCCCACCAATCATATTATTTTGGTTCTCTGACATACAAAACACAAAAAGTAAACAGAAAAACAAAATGCAGAGATACCTGGGAGGCGAGCATAACTTAAAATAAAGTAAAAAGCGTAAAAGTAATGCTTTTTATCGTATAAGCACACTTTTTATAACACTAGCCTTAGATAATGATTTAGTATGTTTGGAATAATATTTTTGATACTTCATTTTAAATTCAAGACGAATGTGGCTTAAAAGCCTTTTATAAATATTGTCACCTTTGTCCCATGTTGCGTGACCGTCCAAGTAATTCTATACAACGCTTGGTTTGCGATTTCTGGCCTCGATGGTTTATCGTACGTACAGCGGAGTCGAAACCCTCCTTGAACCCGCTGATCTGTTGAAGACACCCGAGGTGATGATCCGTGCAAGCTTCTGGGGCCAACATTCCGTCCTAAGAATGAAAACATAAATTGAAAGACAAAGCAATCTTTAAAATATGGACACGTAGGCCACGAATCTGTACCGGTATGCTAGCAGCTGAGATGAATTTGCTATACTTTATATTTAAATTTACTGTGCCCTTTTTTATGTCGATCCATCTGAAAACAAATAACTGGTTTTCTAATCCCATACCGACATGAACTGGTAACCAGACAAGAGGCCGTGGTTCGCCACATGGTTAAGCCGCCTTATTGGCTTTACTTTTCACCGAGATAAACATGTAGATACTATCATTTATTCGTATATATTCATTATTTGTGGCAAGGGTCTGAATCAAAAACAAAACATCGGCGGACAAACGTAAGAGAATGAAGTGTTCTCCAATTACATATAAAAATTCCGATGGATTGAAATAAAACAATGATATTTGAGTGGTATAACGGTTTCCACTTGACCCGAGGAAAATTTGAAATAAAACATAAAAGTAATTGACTTCTAGCGGCTTTTACCTTATTTCTGGTGTAACGAAAACTAGTTAATGAGGAATTTATGATCACTCTTAGTTAGGGGTATCACTTGGATTAGTGAAAATTAGCAAACAATAAGTTATAAATAACAGACAGTAAGGCGAAAGTATGTTTTACTCAAAAAACACGTTGAAAATATGCGGATGAAATCGCAATCTTTAAACAATAAAGAAATATAAATGTCCAAAATAAGGCGGAAAAATATCGAATTCAACAAATGTTTTTATTTTTATTTTTTTTATTGTTATATATCATAAGCACTTCGCAATGAATGCATTTCATGCAGAGCAAGTAATATTCACACTTTACATAAATATAAGTTAGTACACTTATCATCAAATAAACAGCACAAATGTGATTGCAAAATTATGCACCGCATTAGGGTTCCTTTTGTACAGATACAAGTGGTTACCATGGAGGCAAACTACGTCACAATTTCATTAGTTTTCCCTCAAAGATTGTCCACGTCCGTCTTGTGGAGCGCGAAGCATCGTTAGAGAACCACAAGATTAGACCCAATTAGGATTGTTATTTCAGTAAGCAAAACAACTCTTAGATAACAGTTTTTGTTGAGAGCGTTCCACATCAAAAAGGATTAAGTGTTTAAGTTGGCGTATAAAGTTTCAGAAAGTATTTCCGATTCGTTATGCTGAGTGAAATAATTGTTTTAAACCGAAATTCGAACTATTTTGGGGAAAATATTTCAGCGGAACACGTGGCTAAAATGAGAAAGTAATTTTTGGTTGGAAATTTCCTATTGATAGGAAAACTTGAGTATCGTGTCGTCTTTTAGATTAGACAACATTTCCGATTCGCTATGATGAGTGAAATAATTGTTTTTCAACCGAAATTTGAACTATTTTTGGGAAAATATCCTCGTTCTAAAATTTATGTCTGTGGAAACCTTTTTTCATCCAGCTATCTACAGGGCGATATTGTCTTGATTGCTGCAATCTCTATGTTCTAATTTGAGGAAATATTTTGTGTAGTGTAAGTATGAATATACTGAATAAAACGAAACAAAGTTTCCCAAAAATCCATGCAAACTGTTTTTTTTTTCTATAGAAATTCAGCCTAACTAACCGTTGGGAGTTACACGAGACAACGCAGTTACGTCTAACGCTCCAGTGTGCAACCTTTGATAAAGAAGGGCCAGATATAAATGACGGGTGAAACCGCGGGCTGCACCTTTATTTGGCATAATCTTTTTAGTAGTTGCAGGCACAAATAAGTATTGTAAAGTCATATGCATAGCTAATAAATTGGGCTCTGATATAGGCTTTGCAACGCAAAGAGATTGGAATTACTCGAAGATACCATACTTAACTAAATTCAATTTCGCGAGCCGCACACCAATAAAAAATGGCCCTTCCTCGCGGGTCGCACAAATTTTCCTTGTGGGCAAAATTTGACCCGTGGAAACAAGGTTGCACAAGCCTGCTTTATTCAACCGCCATCGACTTTATTATTACAACGTATTCTATTGTTTAATCATAAGTCATTGTCTATAGTTGCCGATATAATCCCTAATGAATAACAAGCTATGAGTACAACAAAGCAAAAACATTATTTCGTCTCTGCTGGGTGTCTGAGCGGGCAATAAACACTTCGCATGAGGTGTATAGTATACTAATTAGAGAGTGGCTGGTATTCTTAAAGGGGGAGACACACAAATTAAAGGGGGTGACGCGTGGGCAATCGTGCTTTGTTTTTGTTTTTCAGAAAAGACAATGAACAATGTACCTCAAGGTTTTTAGGATTACGATTTTGTCTTTAAAATTATGTTGTTCACCCCACTTGACTCAGGTCGATGGGATGAAATTCTGGTTTTCAAAAAGTTAATTTCATTTTGCGGGGAAAGCGACTCATTAAATTTAACATGAATTCCATTTTATTGGATTCTCGTATTTATTTCACAGAAATGGCTGGAGTATGAAGGGAATTGATATTGTTCACCACGGTAAGGGAATGCAGTAACCCTCACGGATAAATATTTCCCAATGGGATTCAAACTCACGCAGTGTTGGCCACGTCAATGTATCAATTAGGCTACAGACCTGCTCACGTGTGATTAGTGTTTTTCCTGATAATTGCTTTTATGAGTGTGCGCACACCGAATTTGCCTCCATGGTTTTGCGTTTGTTTGTATATTAAACCACTTATCACCTTTTCCGCAATGCCAAATCAAGCAATCAGTGTAGTTTTTCATGGCTTGGTTTTTCTTGAATCTTCCATGGCTTCACGAGTATGACTATCGTCGCAAATTTATTACATTCCACTCCCCACATTATCTTTGCATGAGGTTGTATTGGTCATTATCAACGTAATTGTTGAAAGAGAGTACAACAGCCCGAAAGTTTAATACTTATCGGGGGCTCCCGAAGTATGCGAACCAAGATGGCGGACATCGGAATGTAATATGTGTACTAGGTTAGGGTTAGGCCATAATTTTAGGTATAAATACTACGGGAGGCTCTTGGCTAGTCTTTGAACTGATAATAGGACTAAAACAAGGAAAATTGGAAAGAAATTATCGCCTAACCCTAACCTGTTACCCATGTTATGTTCCGATGTCCGCCATCTTGGTTCGCATACTTCGGGAGCACCACTTATCGCGTATCGTGTAATACTATCGTGTTTTTTGTTTTATTTGTCAAAGGCGGGAACATGAGATACTTCTGCCCTCCAGAATTCTCCATTTTTAATTTATTTTTGTTATGGAGTTTTCGAATCTATCTATCTTACTATTGTAATTGTCCAGACCACGGCAAACGTGCCACCCTTATACCCATATAATCGGAAAACACGAATTCAAAATATTTATCCTCAACATTCGTACAAGGTTTCGTACGTCGTACTATGTGCATTGATGAATAACAAGCTATAGGAACAACAAAACATTATTTCGTGCCTGTTTGGGTGTCTGAACACGAAATATACACTTTCCACTTTCTGTCTGGTACACTAATTAGAGATTGTTGGTATTGATAAAGAGGGAGACACGCGAATTAAAGGGGGTGACGTGTTAATTAAAGGGGGTGACTCGTGAATTAGAGGAAGTGACTCGTTAATTAAAGGGGGCGACTCGTGAATTAAAGGAAGTGACTTGTTAATTAAAGGGGGCGACGCGTGAAATAAAAAAAAGGGTCTTTTGCTTTGTTTTTTCAGATAAGAATATAAATAATGTACCTCAAGGTTTTTATATGTACAAATGACCTGAATGGATTTGTTCCGAGAAAAGCTTCTAGACACGCGGCCATTCGTATATACAAAGTTCGCAGTCAGCGGTATAAAAATTGTGTACACTTGAGCCATAGGCGTAGTCAGGGGGTCGCCATGTAACTCCCTTTAACCCACGTGTCGTCTCCTTTAACATTAAAAGTCATTTCCCAATTTGTGTGCCAGACAAAGAGATCATGGAGAGTGTTCAAGACCATATTATTTGTGCAAGTCTTCGTACATCGACCATCGTTCGCATGAGAAGCGTTTTACCGCAAAAGCGCCGATCTTCCAGAACGCGAAAAAAAAGCACGAGTCACCTCCTCTAATCCGCAGGTAACTCCTTTAAATTCACGTGTCACCCCTTTAACACGAAAAGTCATTTTATAATAGTATACCAAAGAAACCACGAAAACTAAATAATGATAATAAAACCCTATTTTGTATGGACATATGTACAAGTCTTTGTACATCTTCCATCGGTAACGTAAGAAGCATTTAACCATAAAAATGCCGATCTCCTGGAACAGCTATCAAACCACAGACATGAAAACTTATTTGTTTACAAGTGGCGGTCGAGATCAGACAACAATGGGAGCGAAATTTTACACAATTTCTCTAAAGTTCATCGTGATAATGCGATTGTGGTTGGAGCGTAATTAGGATTATTCGATAAATCCGGCAGATATCCGGACAAGCTTGGACACACGAAATGTATAATATCTTCCAACGCCCATAAGTGGAAATAATACTGAGAAATCGCATTATGAGAAAAACTCGAATAGCTTCAAAGTTTGTTATCAACAATAAGGTAGCCTTAGCTCGACAACACCAGGTGTTTCTCGCCAGCTGCGTTGCAAGGTTTAATCACAAATTACTCGATGTCGGCGATAATACAAAGATGTCGATATATCATTTGAAAACATATGAAATACATCTCTTTATGAAAACTTAGAGAGATGACGCCAGAGTGATGACGTATGCATATTTTGATACGACAGACATGTAAATATTTATTCTATTAGTTTGAAGTACTTGAGGAATATAACTGTTTAATATTGGACATATGGAATAACTCACATACGAAATACAACATTCTTTTTCAAATCGAAGTCTGATGACGTCAGAACGATGACGTATGTTCAATTCAGAATCGCCATTGAAACAGCGATTGGCATTCATCTTCTAACCCTAATTTCTGATTGTACTGGTGCATTTAAAATCATTTGTGATTAATTAGATTATCACGGCATATTGGGAGCAAAATACAAACAAAAATATTTTCAGGGGTGGGCAAGGCCAAAAAATTTTGCCTACATAGGATGGCGGGCGATTTAAGTGTGTAACTGTGGCGACCTAAAATCCAACTTACACAGACCGCAATCACAATCTAACAAGCCTATTGCTCCATACAGATTTCAATAACATAACGATTGCTATATGTGATGCATGCAGAATTGAGCCGCGGACCGTACTGTACCCATGTCAGATATAAAAGATACAATTTACCTTTTCTTGTTGTTGCAGCCTTGCTCTCCGCACAGAAGGAAGGGCAAGCTACAGCTTCCTTCACAGGTTTTGTTATCCACAGGAAATAAACAAAGTATTCCCCGCAGTTCCGGACTTGAACTGGCACAAGATGAGCGCAGCAATCTGATTGGACAGATACACAAGCCATGATGGATTTTGATTGGTGTTTCTCTGGCAACACAGGTCTGTCGTCATATGTCTCGATTGATTCGTTCTTTTTGGCGCGAAGCCAGATTGGGGTCGATGTCCCACATTGGTTAGGCTGAAAGTTTCCCGAAAATCAAAGATTTATAACATCGAACTTTGTCATAGAACGTTCTAGTTATACTTTCATAACGTGAACGTAGAATAAAATTAAACTAAAATCGTTAATATCCGGTAGAAAATATCGATGAAAACAACGTCATAATGACCCCGATTGTTACATTGTGCTTCCTAGCCTAGACCTAGCTGTTGTAAATAAACTATTTTTGATTTATAGTTTTTCATATTGAGTTTTTGGCCCAGTAACTAAGTCTATTATCTGTAACTGGCCCACTCAGAAACGTAATTGCCCACGCCTGCCTATGTGATATTGTACCGTTAACACGCCGAAACACTGTTTACTACAAAGAAGACCTTTGAATGTCGAGTAAAAGAAGCATATTGAAAATTGAAATCTCAAAAGCTAACGCAGCAAATTATTTACTTTTCACACTATCTTTTCGTGCCTTTTAACTTCAAAAGGAGCTGTACAACCAGTCACATTTATATAAAGATATATAGGGTGCCCATGAGGTCCTAAAATGTTTCAAATTGCAAAGGGAATTTATCGATACCATATATTGTTTTGGGCCTCATAGATGTCTTAAATGAAGTGAAAATACTTGAATACTTACTGATTAAAAAAGAACAAATCTGGTTAAGGTATATTGAGAACTGACTTCATAACAAAATTGAAATTGTAAAGGGATTTTATTGACACCCTGTATCATTTGACCTACCAGCATGCATTCGCCCGCCATATCGGCTGCTCTTCCATCGAGGGAAAACCTGTACCATCCTGGTGTCAAGGTCGAATCACATAGAGTTCCCGTATGTCCTCCGAGTGGTACAGTCTCCAGGACGCGTCTGGCTGGGTCGTGCAAGACTTCATGACTGTCAGTTCTACATTCAGATATGTCATCAGCAAATCGGTCGTCGTCTGAAAAGAAAGTGAAAATGAATGAAATTTAGCATAATATCTGAAATTGTTCTGTAATCGAGAAATGTTCAAAATTGAGCATAATTTAAAGATTTTAACATGCCATATTTGAAATTTACATGGAAGGTTCTAAAACCTTGAGTTAGTGAGCTCACGGTGTAGATCAATATCTAACAAAGAGCAAGAATTATCTGACTGAGATAAGTCAACATCACCTAATTGGTAGTCGCCTAGAAAGAAAAATAATAATGATCAAAATTGAGTACGCGATGAGACCTAAAACAGGTTCTTTCTGATCCGGAAATGCTACATGCCGTCTTAAGTGAGACATTGGGGATGGGATTTGTTTTCGACACTTTTAATTCGGGATGCAAACGCAGTTAAGCTCAAAACTACATGCGGAGCCGCATGCGACATGACGCACATCCTGAACAACTCTAACTTGGTACACATACTATGTTCAGGTTGTGCACCATCTTGGTACAAATACTTAGGGAGCGCCTTTCGTTTAAAGCAGTGGGGATTCAATGAAAGTCGGGAGCATAAAGTCGTTTACTACTCACTAATTACACATCCCAGCCGGTATAAGTCGGGAGCGGTGAAAATAGGTCGCATTAAGGCGATTCAGATCTGTCAAAACGAACTTTTTTTTTTATATTCGTAATTTATTAGGCTCTTTCTTAGTAATAACTAGAATACTGCATCCTGAGTTTGACAGAAAGAATGCAAATGGCTCTTTCAAAGCTAAAGGTTGCCGACCCGTGGCATATATTAACGCATTAATCACAAATCGAGCTCAGATTCCAACGAGACCAAAGTCACGTTAGCACTACATTCTAATGACAGCTAATCAAACATTTTATCAGTATATTCCCGCTCATTACGATTCTACCAGACAACCTGTGACACGCCCGTGTTCGTCAATATTTATCAAGGCTTATTAAAAGCATATTCAGTCAAGCACTTAAGGCGAAATGTCTTTTTCAATGTAAGAAAATTGGACCATGCGTAGACAATATCGAAGAGGCACGGGCCATATGTAATCGATGTAGTATAGGCCCGTTATGATATAAAATATGTTCCATGACAGACGGGATAATATTTGTCCAGGCGAACAAAGGAATATTTTGAATTGTTTTGGGATATGTTTATCAAATTCCGGTTTCGAGAGTTGTTTCCGTTCAAACGGGTCAAAGGTCAATTGATCATAAATGATTTTCTTGAATTGGCGTAAAGTTATCAGTATTCTATTGACCTGGGCCGTGCTATTAATCCTTGTACTTGGGATATGTTTAACGAATTCCGGGTTTCGAGAGTTACTTCCGTTTAAAAGGGTCAGAGGTCATTCGATTTTAATGATTTTCTTGAACTGGTGAAAATATTATACTGAACTGGGCCGTGTTGTTAATTCTTGTACTTCGGATATGTTTAGCAAATTCCGTGTTTGTCCTAGACTTTACTCAGAAGAAGGCTCTGAACGAGTAATTGCTGCAAATCATGACACTTGCCCCTATATATGAATTACTAAATTGTATAGTGAATCGAAAGTATATAAATTCATCCATTCGTCCAAATCCTGAGTAAAATAATAACGGTCCGATTCCCCTCCCCACGCGCGTGGCCTAGATTGGTTACCAACGCTCTTCACTCAGTTATTTTGTTCGCCACATTTAATATTAAAAGTAAAAAAACGAAGGTAAAGTATAAATGCATTACAGCCAAAGAATTGAACAAACCACTGTCAATTTACTTTAGATCATGTGGTCGTGACGGATGATACCTGGTAAAAGTTCTTGTCCAATGTTGTTTGTTCAATGGAGTATGAGCTTGTTATGATATAAAATATGTTTCATGATAGACGGGATAATATTTGTCCAGACGAACAAGTGGAATATTTCGGATTGTTTTGGGATTTGTTTATCAAATTCCGGTTTCGAGAGTTATTTCCGTTCAAAGGGTCAAAGGTCATTTGATTGCAATGATTTTCTTGAATTGGGGAAGATATTATATTGACATGGGCCGTGCTATTAATCCTTGTACTTGGGATATGTTTAGTGAATTCCGGGTTTCGTGAGTTATTTCCGTTTCAGAAGGGTCAGAGGTCATTTGATTATGAATGATTTTCTTGAATTGGTAAAGTTATTAGTATTATATTAACTTGGGACGAGTTATTAATTATTGTCCCAGACTTCACTCTGAAGGAGGCTTTTCAAATACGAAAGTGAATTATAAATGAATTAAAGCCAAAGAATTAAACGAACCCTTGTCAATTTACTTCAGATAATGTCGTCGCGACGTGAAGGTTCGCTCCAAGTTTTATAAACCATGTTTTATCTATACCAGAGTTTCTCAAGTTTTTTTTTTCCCCCGGAATACTTACGCTTTTTATCTCGCCTCGCGGAATACTAAGAAATTAGAAGATAAAATTGATAATAATAATAAATCGTGTAATGGTTTTATTGTTTTATATAAACAAACTTCATCAGGGCAGTTTCATTGAGGCATACGAGAGTTTGTGTTCTCATAAACGCTTTAAAAAATAACGATTTTTTTCTAATCATCTGGAAACGCTGAAAGTGACCAGAAGTTGGCGGTTACACGCATTACGTCGGAATTTTTTGAAAATACGCAAAAGATCGAAAAACAGCGTAGATATTATAGAATTTTGATCCCATAAAATTTCACTAAACTTACTGATTTTTCCTTATTATTATCTGGCAACCATGAAAATGACCAGAAGGTGGCGGTTTCACGCATTACGCCGGAAAATACCTTAAATATAATAAAAACAGCAGCGTAGATATTATAGAGATTTGATCCCATAAAACATAGAATATCAACTATTTTTTCCAAAGATCCGTAAACAAACTTAAAAATTACTAGGGTCCGGCCATTACAGATATAATATTTTGACATTTTTAAACGCGCATTTCCTCAGCATTACAGATCTTTTCATATGTTGTCAGGTGCAAATATAAGAAAATTATAGAATAACCTTTAAAAATAATGGAGTCATACAAAATATAAAAGGGAACCTTCACATATCCAAAGTAGGGCAAATGATCCGAAATAAAGAATGCGGTCCGAATCAAATACTCGTAAGGTCCGGATTCGGACCGCCGCTTGAGTAGCCCAGCCATAAAAATTCCACTAAAAAATACTGATTTTGCCTTATTATTATCTGGCAACGCCGAAAGTGACCAGAAGGTGGCGGTTTCACGCATTACGTCGGACTTTTTAGAAAATACGTGAAGGATCAAAAAACAGCTACAATACAACAGATGTTCTTACACTTTGATGTCTGATAACAGAAATTATCTTTTACAAAATTATCTTGGAATGTAATCAGCGTTTTGATCAGTGATAACGGATAAAAATTGTATATTAAACGCATTAACGGACACAATTTCCTGTCATTATGACGCCTTTTCATGGTGTAATGCGAATTCAATTATGTTTAGTCTTTTCGGCTTTTTCTCTATAGTCTATAATTCGGGTTTTCATGTTTGCTGGTATTTGAATCTTTCAGACCATTTTCATTTTACGAAATGTATCTCCAAACCAAGACATATACGGTACTTATTATATCCAGAACAAAGTAAAAGAGGTAGCCATCCTAAAATTGTGGGGTGGGGAAATCATTTTTTTTGCATAATGACGTAATACGACGCTCATTCGTGCCTTTTGCACTGAAGAATGCTAGATAAATACAGCCAGACACTCACTTCGCTGTTGAAGTTATCCAAGGTATACAAGCGCGCATTTTCATCTATCTCGGTTGGTTCATTTGGAGAAAGGATAGCAAGCGTGTTTTTCCTTGATAGTCATACGTACATAGTACACGTACATGGAAAAAAGCTGTGAGATATTTAGGGCATGATTATACTGTGTTGTATCGTCAGCCATCATGATGTATGACATTGTATGCGGCAACCTTTAAAGTAAACGAAAAGTACAATATTCGTTGATTAATCGGCACTCTCTTGATGACAACTTAAGTCCAGACCAGAATTCGCCGTAAGCAATATAAATCATTAATCAAAATACGATCACCCCCCCCCCCTCCCTTATTTTTTTTAAATCTGTCTGTGGCTTGAAACGCTTTTTAAACCCTAAAGACTCCTCGAAAAGTCAAGTTTTCCGGACGGACTCGCTAGCTGTTGCGGTCTATCTTGGCGATAACAAATTTTAGAACCCCCCAGACACACACACACTTTTTAGACGTCCTGAAGTATGCACACCAAGATGTCGCACAACCTGAACATAGTATGTATGTGTACCAGGTTAGGGATAGCAGGTTGTGCGACATCTTGATGTGCATATATATTTTTTGAAAATTACTGACTACGGCCCTGTCGTTGTATAGCCGATACAAATAAGCAGGTCGCTATGTCTGGGTTCAAAGAAGTCTCATATCAGAAAGTGTTATCTATGAGAATGCCTGTTATAGTGTCGTTTATCATATTAAAAACTAAATGGGTTCCATATTTCTGGCATTTTAGATAAAGTGATGATAAATCGGCACCACAATTATCCCGAAAAATTTAATCTCCGCTTAAAAAGTCTGGCTGGGCGCCTACAAAATAAAAGTATTAGTCGCGCATTCTATTGTCTTAAAGTAAGGCGTCGTCATCGATATTTATTTATATTTTTCTATTCATCCTAAAATACTAGCCACGATAGCTTTCCGCGTCAAAACGCTACAAAAGAAATAAAAACGCCGACAGAAGAAAAGTATACGTCCCGGACTTTGGCCGCTATTTTTTAGTAAGGCGTGATAAACGACAGTGACTTAGTTAAAAGCAAACGACTTTTGTTTTCACTACTCAATTCTGTAAAACACAGAAATACGTTTGCGTTAGTGGGCAGCTGAACACGCGTAGTATGGTCATATTTATTCCTGCTACATTATACGCATACGGATCCACAACCATAAAGGCATAAGGAAAGGATGGGGAGTTAGTCTCGCGCAACCCAACTCATTATGACTTTTGTTTTAC